AGTTCTAAACTTTTGCTTGGATAAGCTGAAATCACTACTGAAACATTGTACCTATCACAGGCTTCGACATTCAAATCATAGCCAGTGATTTTGGCCCTTCTGAGGAATGGCATTCCTAGAAACGGTGTCTGTCACTGTTACTTTTATTTTCTCATAAAATGAGAACTATGGATCATGTGAAGGCGTAAGTGTCACGTATAATCTATGTTCAGTTTGTGAAGATGTGGAACTGTATACTTCTAAAATTTCAGGCTAAATGTTAGAGCTTGCCTGCCATACAGTTGATTCTGTGGACACAAAAAATCAGTTTATGTATGTATGGGCCCTGAAACATATTCTTCCGCATTTAGAGAGAGGAGTCCAACTGTACATGAGATGTGAAAATCAACTCTATGTAATCATTCTCTTCTGCAGCAGAATTAAAGACACAGTAATGGACTAGGGAGAACTAGGAGTAAAGCACTGCCAAAGGTATCACCAATTCTCACTTTTACCATTTATCACTTAGAAAAATCTGCTTGCTGCTTCCATATTCCTCTATATGATTTCAGAGAGAAAAATTAAATATGCTGCTTTACATTTCATTTTTAACAGTTAATTGCTGCATAAATACATAGCATAAAAAAAGCACAGACATTTTATAAAAGTAGAATGGTTCTGAAATATTCAGTTGTCTCTTTATTTGCATTTCTTACACAGCAGATACTCTGAAGTGCCTCTTCCGAAAGGAAAGCAAAGTTAAATTTGCCTAGAGAGGGTCCGAACGAGAAGTTTAAACTCCTCATCACTCTGAAGGCAATAGAACTGACGTTTATTGCTGTGCCATGCCAAACTACAGCCCCACCTCTGGATAACTAAAGACTATATGGCAGATGGATGCTTTAAGAGCATTCCCCGGAGCCTTCCAGTGCATATCATGTTGTCTGTTTAGATGATAAACTCCTGGAAAGGCCTGGACCTGTACATTTTTCTGTGTTTTGTGCAGCTCTACTCTTTATAGTGTTTAAAATGATCATCACGATTAATCCATAGATAAACCACCCTAAGGAAGCCAATGTTGCCTGCCCTGCAAGAGCACGGCCTCAAACGTGGCATAAATACCATTTGCTTCCCATTATTTACAGTGTCTGTTATGGTTCCCCAGGGAGCCATGTGTCCAACGCCTAATTCATGGGTCATGCAGGGGAGATGAGCACTGACTTTATTGGATTGTGAATTAGGCCACTGATACATAACACCCACAAAGCCTGCAGGCTGACATTATATACGTGTATATATGTATCTCTGTGCCTCCCACATCTACCTGTGCTATCAGGCTCCACTGAACATCAGTAAACCCTTGCTAAGGGTAGAAGGAAGGAAAGAATCCAGGTAAGAATCAGCCAGAACACTGCATTTTGCAATAGTTCTGAACATCTGTCAACACGCTGTTTCCATTCCAGTTACCACCCTGCTTTGTGTACCTGTACAAAAACTGGCCCCTTTGTATCACGTCATACAAACTTCAGCTCTTGCAATGTTAAAAACCAAGCTAATGTATCATGAATTACCAAATGATATCACATTAATGTGATTTTCCCTGTCTATTACTTTCATAATAATTGAAGCAATAGTGGTTTTTCCAATTAAAAAACCACCACCAAAAAACCCGAAAAAGATCTAGGTCATTGCTGATACAGACATTAAATTTATTTTCAGTATGTCAGTCTTGTTTTTCTACTTAATTTAATGTAGGGAAAGGACACTTAATGACACAGAGCCATTGTGCATACCAAGCCACATGTGCCTGTGGGCAGTGCACCAATGAATTACACGGTCACTGTTATAATACTCTAGACTCTATAACTAAGTCATAGAACTTTAATATAAATTGGTGGGTGATTTTTGAAAGGTGAATGGCATAGGTAAGTTTCACCTTCTGCTAAATATATACGACTCCTGTTCTCTGGTATTTATACTTACATAACATGACTTTCAAGTAACTTCAAGTGGCAAGTAGCAATTTACCTCCATCATCTAACTGGCTGGAGTAAACATCCTATCTGTAAAGCCTTCCTCAGGGAAGGAGATTCCTTCTCATTTGTGGTTAAAGGGACATGGACACACAGAGAAAAACAAATCCAAAGAGGGAAGAGGACAGGTAAGAAACTTGGCAAAGGACATACATAGAATATGTATTTTATTGCCTGTTACAACAGTAAATTCCTGGCAGGGCTTATGCTGATATCTTTCTCTGTGCTCACTATAGATCTAATTATTTCCAGTGTTTAAAATTATAATTGTGATAAAATCCGTAGACAAAATCTCCTAAGAAACCCAGCGTAACTTGCCCTGCTGGTATAGCATGCTACCCTTCCACATATACAAGATACAGTTTGAATTCTGAATTATTGTCACATATGAAAATAAAACTAAGTCTAATTCTCCCCTGTACTGGGTTTGCATGGCAAGGTTTTGGTAGTAGGAGTGCTACAGGGGTGGCTTCTGTGAGAAGCTGCTGGAAGCTTCCCCTATGTTCAACAGAGCCAATACCAGCCAGCTCCAAGATGGACCCACTACTGGCCAAAGCTGAGCCCATCAGCAACGGCAGTAGTGCCTCTGTGATAATGTATTTAAGAAGTGGGGAAAAAAACTGCTTAACAGCTATTGCAATCAGAAGAGAGGACTGAGAATATGTGAGAGCAACAATTCTGCAGAAACCAAGGTTTGGAGGAGGAAGGGGGAGAAGGGG